GGGTGCGTGATTTTATTCCATTTTTTCTCATGAAGGCTTTAGAAAATACTCTCTACTACTTTCTTATATTGTTTTCATTTAATAAACTGTCTGGCAAAAGAAAATAGGATTTGACAAAAAATAAAAATGTTATCAAAACGTTACAAAGCTGAAAACAGTCACCAAAACACTGCAAACTTAAGGTCCAAAACACAACTATATCAGTATCAAATACGTCACACTCGAATAATCATTTCGCATGTGTTTCATTTTTAGCCACCGTCAAACAAACATGGGTGAATACTTTCATTGTCTGGCAGTCTATTAGCAGTAATTCTGTCATATATTAGGGCGCTCGGGTAGCCTAGTGGTTTAAGCGTTCGCTCTTCACGCCGACGACCCGGGTTCGTTTCCCGACATGGGTACAATGTGTGAAGCCCATTTCTGGTGTCCCCGCCGTGATATTCCTGGAATATTGCTAAAAGCGGCGTAAAACCATACTCACTCAGTCAGACAGTCATGTATTCCTGGATCGAAGTCCTGGAAAGGTGCAGAAAATCTGCATTGACACTAACACAACATTAGTGGCTAATATACACAATACGATACGTACATATGGTAGGTCGTCACGCTTAAGGCACGAGTTCAATTACCACATTGAGTACAATGTGTGAAGCCCATTTCTGGCGTTGCTGGAATCTTGCCTAAAAAACGTCGTAAAACCATACTCACTCACTCTTTATCGCTCTTTATGTGAAACTGGAGATTCCTATCTTGCATTTAGGCAATAAGTAGGCGTTCACATGGGTACCAATGGCAATATCCCCTAGTTTCATCTATTGGTGTCTACATTTCACTACGTTTCAGGAACAATCCAACATGCTCTTTAAAAGAAGATTTCAAAGGACGTCATACAACTCTTGTTCAAAAGTTGTTTGATCAGGGTTACAACATTCAAGGCCTTAGTGAATCTACCCCCCCTCCCCAAAAAAATATTTAAAAAAATAATTTAAAAAATATGGTAGACAGTACTTACTGACTTAAATGACTGATGTAATTCCCTATTTTGACTTTTACCAACTTATTTCCCGTATTTTTATCAGGCGAACAATTGACTTGCTTTTACGTGTGTATGTGACGGATGCTTCCGGTGGGGCAGGATACGTTCACCTTTTCGCGAACACCTTGTTTCACCACTATTTCATTTCACATGCTTCCGATGTATGAGAAGTTGGAATCGTACAATAGACTCTGCTTTTAGCAGAGCTTTTGCCTGTCACGCCCATTGCAATCGGCGGGAAATCGAGCTTCTTTGAGAGGCATTTAGAAGTTGGAGTAACAAGTAAGGATAAGATATAAGGATGAACAACTTCTTTATTACAAATAGGAGCGGCGTTTCGGTTTGGGATCTAACACCGTTATGAAGCAAGTATTGATTTATGGTGATAAGAAGGTCCACATGATCAAATGACAGCCTTGTTTTGTACAAGGGCCTTGTATAAAATGTTTTTCTCATCAACAAACCTCAATCATACGAGTACTTTATGTCAAGCAATATTCCAGCAGCTCCATCCTTTGGTGTTTACATTCCACAACTTTTGGGTACAATCGAGCATGCTCTCTCTACCAACATTCCAAAGAGCGTCATATGACTCTTGCTCAGAAGTTGTTTGATCAAGTTTACAACATCCAAGGCCTCAGTAAAGCTTTCAAAAAGTTTTACGGTAGACATGTGGAGGACATCAGTGACAAAAATGTTGTTCAATGCAATTCCTTATTTTGACTTGAGCCATAATTTCCCGTGTTGTTTCATGTGAACAATTGACTTGCCTTTGCATGTGTTTGTTACGGTTGCCACAGATGGGGCAGGATACGCTCACCTTTTCACGAACACATTTTATCATCACTATTTGATAATGATTCATTAACGCATAAATATAGTGGGAATCGTACTGTCGACTCTGCTTTAAGAAGGGATTTCTTATGAATATGAAATGGGTTTTGTCGCTTATATTGACATAATTTTGTTTTGACAATGATCCGAGCCTAACGTCCGTCACATAAACTGTACACGAAATAGTTATATCGGCCTTTTTTAGAAATATTGGTAATGTTGTCTAATCATCAAAATGATTTGTTTTCAAAATGTATGTAATACTCATTCAAGTATACTGGCAGTATGATATTATCTGCTCTGTGGTGATTCCAGGGTAACGATCCCAACACGCCATACCTGTCGTCAAACCTGATGGTGGGGGTCATATGGCTACAGTGCGTGATCAGGCTGATGCTGTTACACCCGACGTAGTGTGCCGATGCTCTTGGCATCAACCACTAGCTTTGCTTAGTCGAGACTCAAACATTTACCGACTGTCTTGATTTATCCGGAGTATTGCTGGCTGGAGTGTAAAACTGTAGAACATTCACTCACCCACCGCAATCTATGTTTTGGCTTTATATTCATTGTCATCCCTTAGACGTCATATTGAGAGACAGGTTGCACGGGAACCAAATATTCGCCAAACAGAATCAGGTTAAGTCTGAGTGAGTATGATTGTACGCTCGCTTTCAGCAATATTCCAGCTATATCACGGAGGCGGGCGTCAGGTTCTTTCGACATTGTGGAGATTCACCGAACATATATAATTACCGAACATAGTCACAAAACATAATTACAGAACATAATCACACAAAAATAATTACCGAACATAGTCACACAAAAATGATTACCGAACATAGTCACACACAAATAATTACCGAACATAGTTACAAAGAATAATTACCGAACATAGTCATAAAACATAATTACCGAACATAGTCACAAAACATAATTACCGAACATAGTCACAAAACATAATTACCGAACATAGTCACAAAATATAATTACCGAACATAGTCACAAAACATAATTACAGAACATAATCATATGACATAAATGGGGAATCGAACCCGTGTCTTCTGCGTTACGGGCGAATACGTTCGCCACTAGGCTACCCCAGGCACATACGTGGACCACATAGGTAGTGGTGGAGGCAGGGGGATTAATGAGGGTAGAGGTGCTTGGTGGGGTGGCTTGAGGCGGATGTGACGCAGGCCTGACACCACAAGTGTCTCGTGTAGTGAGACCCATGTGTCGTTCACATGGCCGTGTTGTGGTTTGTCATGGAGACGAGGCGTGTGTTTGAAATAAGCCTTATCACTATGAAGCCACATTCCAAAGTTGTCACCTTACGGTAACTTACACGTATTCTTCCAGAATGAGACATTGAAAAAATGTGATCTGGTGACTAATGTAACCGAAAACATTAAAACATTAATACCTTACACTGGAGATGTATTTAGAGGCTTTACAAGAACATGCACGTATCACACAATGTGGGGCATTTTTGCGTGTCCCGAGGGACGCGTGTACAATACATACAGGACGAACTCCAGCCCATTTATCAATCACACCTACTTACTCACTATAATGGGCATCTTGTCAATGCCTCCAGCATTAGGACAGTACGTATGTCGGTTCTTGTAACGCGCTCGTTCAATTTATACAATTAAATGAGACAAATCCCACATACATTCCAATCTATTAGCTATTACTATACTTCCCAAAAGAAGCTAAGTACCACCCGATTCTTTCATATTACTTTCGTCATGCCATGAAAGTTTAATGATAGGAATATGAAAGAATCGGATGGTCTTTAACTTCTTTTAAGTAGTATATTAGTCTTGGTATAGTCGGAATCGTACCATGGAGTCTGCTCTGTTAATGCTCCGTTAATGATTTTATGACAGGTATACTTAATATGGTTATAATTATTTTAAGTAAATATAGTAAACGTTGCAAATAAAGTTACTCGATATTGGAATATATTCTTTCTGATGAAATAATCATCCGATCATTACATCAAAATTATTTGGAGTAGACTGGTAGAAAATGTGCCTAAAGCTGATTGCTTTTTATAAATTAGTATACGATAAAAAACACACAGTAATCTTTATTTCTGAATATAAAACAATGCCTAGCAGAGCAGAAAATGCAATCTAAATGGTAATCATCATATCTAGTGTTAATTAAGCTCAAATTTCACATTTATATCGCCCAAGTTTGTTATCACATGCGTTCACCTGAATTCTCTGAAGGAATAAGATGAAGTTTTTTATGGTACGTAATATGATGTTGACCGATAGCTTCACCCTTTGAAGTCGTGTGTATATTAATCAACAACCAAAACACGTCAGTTTGACTGCAGCTCTTTATCGTATACCTTTCTTTTGATATACGAGTGTTCATTGTTCGATCTTCCGATAGGTGTCGCTTCTCGCAGCGCAGCGAGCATTCGTCACCACTCGCCCCTTTCCGTAACCTGCAAGAAGACTCGTCCCCCTATCGATGAATGTTATGTGCGAAAATACGACAAACCAATCAGAATGCGCGTATGATTTCATTTTCTTCGTCAATGAATCCCTCAGAAATATCTTTTGATTTTACATATGTCTTGCATCATAATTTCGCACGTCCCAATTTGCTTTAAATTGCATCTGAAATATATATATAATACATGGGGAAATAATATGTGAACCATTACGCGGAACCTGGTCGCAAAAATGGCCATGAGAGGGGCACGAGTCGCTATTCGGCTTGTCCCTGAATAACACGAGTTGGTCACGAATTGCGCCGAACAAGTCGAAATTATAATCCATAATAAGCAAATTTTGAATCCGCATAGAAAAAGCTTGATCCATATTTTAATACAATCAAAGTTGGAGTGTTGTTTCCTTTTAACGTAATCTGGTCAATATTTTCTGTTGACAATAGAGATTTTAGGCTTATAGGTATAAACCATTTATTCATCAATTTTCATTTAATCACCATACAGCTCGTATACACATTATCATATTATGCTTAAAGGTAGACTGACTTCATTTTCAACGCAGTATGTTGGCTATATATGTGTAACCGCGCTTGTGATGGCCGATAATGGAGTAGGCGCTCTACTGGCCAAATAAATCACAAACAGCTGTCGGGGGTGAGGCTGATGACGTTTATTTTATAATCAGTACGAATGTACGTACTTAATTTCAGTCTGAAACAATAAAAGTACAACATAAGCAAATATAACATAGAAATAAATATATACAATCCGTTATAGTTACTCTTTAAATTTCTAATATATATATATATATCAATTCCATTAAAATGAATAGCATTTACTTTACATTACACAATACATCAGACGTATTCGTACAATACATCAATACACAGATACAAAATATATTAATATGATATAGAGTGATAACGAACATTACATACCAGATAGGTGATACCTGAACTGGTAATACCGTGACAATGATCAAACGGTGAACGTTGCTACTGAGAAATCTGCATAATAAAGAAATACAAATGCAGAATACTATATACAAGTGATATCCTATGGTAAAATAGTGTATAAAAATATATAGTACAACAGCCACTCATTTCAGACATACAACACTCATACACCTGCATACACCAACATACATCAAGCATACAGACATACATTTACTTTCCATTACTGTCCAGAGGGGTTATATTACTTAGTTTATATATATTTAGGTTTTTGTGTTTAATACTGTTTTATTCAGATAATAATTACTCACTGAACTGCAAGTTCATCAAGCACTATAAATATATACAAGATGCATTATGTTTCTAATAAATCAAATTAAGAATACATTCTACAATATATATTATTTCAAATCGCAATAATTAGAAAACATCCATATATACAACTTCATAAAATAAATAACCAACTAACCTTAAATATGAATAAATCCTTCTACAAATCCAAATCCTCACATAGAAATGAAAGCAGCAATAAATCTCGCAGAGTCTTTCCTTGAGGTGACAAATAGCAACTGATTTTCTAAAATTCAACAACAAACATTGCTGTAGCTAAGGCCAGCTTGGCCTATCAACAAGACAATAGACTGGGCCGGGGCGCGCTGGGGCAAAGAGTGCTGTAAGTCAAAAGCATGCAGTGTGACAATTAGTGGAAGTTAGACTGAGGGTAAGCTTACTTAATGTTACAGAGCTATGGAATGAATGTTTAAGATATAAAATACTAAGGTATAAAACATAACTAATATTATAACTAATAATATATTCTTATAATATAGATATCGTAATAAACTAATCAGTTAAAATGGTAACAAGGCCATATAACCTTACTACTTACTAATACATCTTAATTAAAAGTATGTACATAAATGAGTCTGCCACATATGCAGCTGAGCTAATTTCAATATCGTGAACGATGTTATCTTTAAATAGTTAAACTTTTTAAACATTTAAACAAGATGAAATTCAACCCGTTTGTCCATGACAGTCGTTATTGGTATGACTCAACACATGTATTACACCTGGTGTGCCAGTGCTCATATGAGACTTCACCAGTGTCGTGAGTATGTTTCACGCATGTTTCATGCATGTTTCACGCATGTTTCACAGAAGTCAGTCTTGCGTAGCAAACTTATCAGTACAGCTATCCAACACTTCACTGCAGTATTATTGTACTCAGAAACCCTTACAGGGCTCTGTTTTAAAAAGAACTATTGACAAGCAGAAGTTTTACACGTTCTGTTTTACACGATCTTTTACACGTTCTGTTTTACACGTTGTGTTTTACATGTTGTGTTCTACACGTTCTGTTTTAATGTTCTTTTACATGTTCTGTTTTGCATGTTCTGTTTTACACGTTCTGTTTTACGTGTTCTGTTCTACACGCTCTGTTTTACATGTTTGTTTTACACGCTCTGTTTTACATGTTCTGTTTAAACAGAGTCTGTTTAAATGTTCTGCTCTACACATTCTGTTTTCCACGCTCTGTTCTACAAGCTCTGGTTTACATGATCTGTTTTAAACGCTCTGTTTAACACATTGTGTTCTGTAAGTTCTGTTTTACTTGTGTTACACGTTCTGTTTTAGATGTTCCTTTTTACACCTTCTGTTTTACATGTTCTGTTCTACACGTTCTGTTTTAATGTTCTTTTACATGTTCTGTTTTACACGCCCTGCTCTACAAGCTCTGTTTTAAATGTTCTGTTCTACACGTTCTGTTCTACACGTTTTATTTTAGGTGTTATGTTCTACACGTTCTGTTTTAGATGTTCTGTTCTACACGCTGTTTTACATGTTCTGTTTTACATGTCCTGTTTTAGTAATTCTGTTCTACACGTTCTGTTTTAAAAGCTTCTGTTTTACACGCACTGTTTGTTTTACATGTTCTGTTCTACACGTTCTGATCTAAACGTAGCATTTTATTATCTTTGGTAAAGAAATTAATACAATGAATTGTGTGGAGGGTAAGCCCCCCCCCCCCCCCCCCCCCCCCCCCTATGGCCGAAAGCTATGAACACACAACCCAGAAAGCACGAGAATCTGTACTTTACTGAGAAGGTGTTATCCCAAATATAACATTTGTTACATTTCACCACTTTCTTAATGGCATTGTGTGTTCATGTGAACACTTGATAAGTAATGGCATATTGCAAACTGGATAACAGTGGACACGTGTCCAAAATGATGGCATTACACAGAAAATTACAAAGGCCAAGGTCATGTTAACTTACTCTCCATCAGCGCCACCTTAGAGTCAAGTTACTGTCGGGTACCCGGAATGAGATTATGGATCACACGTAGAGCATGTGAAGCTGCTGCGATGTCTATGGTTCAGAATGCCAATATCGCACGCGGCGATCCAACTCGACCCATACATGTACAGTTAGTGGACATAAGTATTCGTCGCTTTACAAAACTGTGCTATATCGTGTGCCCATCCTCGAAAATGAAGGTTTCTGTTTTGATGTGGGGGTGTCGGAACACTGACTGCGATCGAAGGCAATACAAATGCTCTCATATATAATGACATTCTTGAAAATAATCTCTGGCCTGTTCTCTCGCGGCCTTCCAGCAACAAAGCGTCCACATTCCATGACTATGTCCCCGTTCATCGAGCACGTGCTGTGAAAGCCTACATCGAGAACAATCATGTCAATATGAATGAATGACCGGTTCAGTCTCCGGATCTCAATATCATTGAGAACATTTCGTTGAAACTCAAAACAGGTCTCCAAACATGGGCCGAAACTATCACGAGCCCCGCTGAAAACTTTTCACGGCTGTCAATGACATATTGGATCAATATTTGTTTGGAGTATTCCAGCTACGATGTTTGAAGTCATTCTCATGAAAGGCCATCTGACCAAGTTAAAAGGTAGGTAACCAAAATAAATTTCAAAATTTGATTCTTGAAAGGTGCGAAATTTGGTAAACAAACGGCCGCCATAGTGGAAATGCCGAACACTTATGTGCACCCCTCCTATTCCCCCATCGCGTTTTCAAAGTCCCGGACCCGCCTTTAAATACAAGAGTTTAATCTAAATCGAACTAACATAAAATTAACTTAAACTTAATTACAACCAAATGCCACTCAAATTGAAGACTAAAAGTATAAAAACTCATTTTGTAAACTAGACCTCGTCAACCTTTATGTCGCTCCAGCCTCTGTTTGTGACATACAGTTACAAGCTTGAACGTTTTAGTGCACTCGTCCTGACGCCCAGTGCCATCTGTTAGCGTCTGCAGAAGGCACATCTTACATGTGTATATTGTGCACTCCGTCACCGTTGGATGGCAAGTAAAGCTAGCTTTATTGCATCACTGAACTTAGACAATTAGTAATTAAAATAACAGCTGTGGCAATACATTTAAAACAAATATTCAGCATGTCCCTTGTAAGAACTTTTATGTATGCTTCGTAAATACACGTGTGTGCTGTTCATATCTGGAGTGAGTGAGAATTGTTAACGCCGCTTTTAACAAGTGTTCTAGTTATAACGCGGCGTGTCAGCTTATTGTGAATGGAAAGCCCGAAGTGATGCAGGTCTCAGACGTTTACCACTTCAGTGAAACCCACGAGCACGGGTATGGTGCTGACAAACCTAGAAATATAATCGGGGCGAACCGGGATTCGAACCCACAATCATAGGTTTCTGGTGTGCCCAGGGGACGCAACTGTGCACAGCGAATCGCGGCGCCTTAGACGACTGGGCCACCCGTAGAGCTACGACTGTCGTAAGTCTATGTAAAGAATAGGAGCTCCGACAGTGGAGCCGGGCCCTTATCACAAGATTAAGAAGGTTGAATTTCGAGATTAAAATAACTCCCCACTTAAAGCTCCATGCGGTCTTCTCCACCAGTATGTACACACACCGTGTCCTATAAAGCCCGAAAACTAGAAATACACGATCAGGTAACATGATCACGTACTGCCTTATATAATATACACTGAACAGTAAAAGGTGGAGTAACACAAATCATCTTGGGGAAAGAAACTAGACCAAAACATTAGTAAAAACGATGAATTTGATACTGTAATAGTTAGTGTGAATAGCCTGACCATAAGAATTACTATTGAAAAAAAAAAATCTCCTTGATCGGCAAAAATCTACACCAGAAAATACGTTTTCTCTTTATAAACCTTCCGTGTCACGATCTTGCTAAGAATTGCCTGTGTCACGTGATAGCCGTTGCCGTGACAACACAGCCAGCAGGTAAATATTTGTCAGTTTGACTACATTCTGTAGTGTGTATTTAGTGTTAGTTTAAAGCGTAGGCTTTTACATCTTTCAACGGGTTTTGTGTTCGAATGTTGATTTAACTTTGTTATTTTTTTTGCCTTTATGACGGATGCTGATGGTGGCTTACACATTTTCTGTGAGTTGTGAAAAAAAATTAACTGGGTTTGAAAACACGCACGATTGTTCTCAACAGCCTTGCCCAGCGACTGAAACATATAACCACATAATATGCACTATGTATACCCATGCTCTCAACGTGATTAAGAGTGTGTTTTATTTCTATGTGGAACAAGGGTATTGCGTGTAGTTAAACACTCCTTGAATCTAAACACATGCAATGGGCTAAGATTTCGCTACCTACACATAACGTCCCCAAATCCAAAACATGTTTAGGACAAGTTTAAATCTTAAACTTGTTTAAAAATTAATAATTATTAGGGATAGAAAAATGGTTAAGGGATAGATCATGATAATGGGTCGATCATGGTTAAGAGATACGTGATGATAAAGGGTCGATTATGATTAAGAAATAGATAATAGAGGGTCAATCATTATTAAGAGATATATGATGATAAAGGGTCGATCATGATAATGATGGGTCGTTCATGCTTAAAAATAGATGATAAAGGGTCGATCATGGTAATGATGGGTCGATCATGCTTAAAAATAGATGATAAAGGGTCGATCATGTATAGGGATACATGATGATAAAGGGTCGAATATGGTTAAGGTTGGATGATGACAATGGGTCGATCATAATTAAGGGTTGTTTGGTGATTCTCTACAATAGGCCTCCAACCCCCGCCACACAAAAAACCCATGAGGTTACAATATTGTAGTCCACAGATGATGTGGCTGAAAACCCGTTCCATTATCATAAGATACCCATTGTACGATTCCGAGTATATTATGAACATGTGTTTATGAATCACTATCAAATAGTGACGATTCCAAGTGTATGCGAACAAGTGAATGTATCCGGCTCCACCCGCCACACCCGCCACACGCAAGGGCAAGTCAATTGTTCACCTGATAAAAAAGGAACATATGTTACAAGTCAAACAAGGGAATAGCATCATACAT